TAAAAGAGCGAATCCGTCGTCACAAGCATAATAGGATTTTTGGCAAACTCTCAGCCATTAACGGATTTAATGAGCCTTTACCGACTACCGTTTGAGTCAGGATAGCATATAGATGGTCTAGATCCATTCTACATGTAACGTTGTACTAAAAGAATAAAATCTTTTAGATTTTATGCTACCATGTTGAATATGTAGGCTACATATGTTAGATGTAGGCTTATCTCTGATAAGGAATTGAGATAACATCCCCCGTACATAAAAGGTATGGATTCAGAGATTATTAACTTAATAATAATCACTGATTACGATATTGAATATGTAGGCTTTGTCATTTTTATGGGAGCGTACCACCCGACAGCGTGTGTTAGACACAGACTTATCTTTAATAAGGGATCAAGATAATGCCCCCCATGCATAAAAAGGCATGGTTTTAGAAATTATTAGCTTAATAAATATCACTGGCTATGATATTGAATACGTAGGCTTTATCATTTTTACGGGAATGTACCACTGGGTAACGTGTGTTAAACACAGACTTATCTCTAATAAGGGGTCGAGATAATGTCCCCCATGCATAGGAAGAATGGATTTTGATGTTGTAAAATTATGTCTTTTCTTAGGGCAGACATGAAACTAATGTTGGAGAGAAAGAATTTTATATTATATCTCCTACATATCTTCTCTTAGAGCAAAGACGAATCCAATACAGAAGAAGAAGAATTTTATATTCTAACTCCTGCTATAAGAGAAACTCAAAGTGGGATCTCCACTTCGAGAATCCTGAAATGTGAAACTAAGAGTGGGATCTCCACTCCGAGAATTAAAAAGATCCGAATAACTCTAACTTTTATAGTATTGGTTACCTATTTTGAAGATGAATTTCTCATTTATCGAGATAAAATTCCAACTTCAGCCTAAAGCAGTAGATGTTTGACTGAAGAGGAATGAATGGAAGCCTTTGGTTTATCGAAAGAGAATTCCGGTTCTGAAAATGGACCTCTCATTCATGGAAGGAATTAAGAGGGGATTTCTGCTTTGACCCTAACTGTAGGAAGGTTTGACCAAGTGCGAGTTGAGATGATTCTTCCTTTTATAGGCTTGATCGTTCAAATTAGGTGGAGGCCTTTTGTTTATTGAAAGGGGATCTTGGTTTTGAAAGTAGATCTCTCGTTCATGGAAGGAATCGATAGGGGATTTTGGCTTGGTCCTAACTATTTAAAAGTTTGACCAAGTGAGAGTTTGAGATGACCCTAACTGTTTAAAGGTTTGATCATTTAATTTAAAAATGGACCTCTCGTTCATGGAAGGAATCGAGAGGGGATTTTTGACTTTGGCCCTAAATGTTTAAAGGTTTGACCAAATGAGAGTTTGAGATGACCCTAACTGTTTAAAGGTTTGATCGTTCAATTTAAAAGTGGACCTCTCGTTCATAAAAAGAATCGAGAGAGAATTTTGGCTTTGACCCTAACTGTTTAAAGGTTTGACTAAATAGGCATTTGAGATGACCATAACTGTTTAAAGGTTTAATCGTTCAATTTGAAAGTGGACCTCTCGTTCATGGAAGGAATCGAGAGCCGATTTTGGCTTTGGCCCTAACTATTTAAACGATTTACCACGTGGAAGTTTGAGAAGACCCTAATTGTTTAAAGGTTTGATCACCTGATGTGGGTGGAAGACTCTCATTTATCGAAAAAAAAATTCTAGTTTTGGTCCTAACTGTTTAAAGGTTTGACCAAATGGGAATTAAGATAATCCTAACTATTTAAAGGTTTGATTGTTCAATTAGAGTAGACCTCTCATTCATAAAAGGAATTGAGAGGGGATTTTAGCTTTGGTCCTAACTATTTAAAGGTTTTACCAAGTGGGAGTTTGAGATGACCCTAACTGTTTAAAGATTTGATCGTTCAATTTAAAAGTAGACCTCTCGTTCATGGAAGGAATCGAGAGGGGATTTTAGCTTTGACCCTAACTATTTAAAGGTTTGACCGAGTGAGAGTGGGGTGGTACAAATAACAGTGAGAGTGCTAATTTATACATATTACTATGTCAATACAGTGGGAGTTTCTGGTGTTAAGTTACAAGGACTTTAACATGAGGGGGTTTGAAATTTCCAATACTATGTCTAGATTCTAACAATGAAAGTGTTGAGTGCACAGATACATCGAGAGTTTGAGTGGATGTAATCATGAAAAATTTTATGGACCCACCGTCAATTTATTTGATTAGTGAGGGATTTTATGATGGAGGACTGTGAATCATCAAGCACTTCACAATTACGCAGTGGTGGTTTCGCAAGGAAAAATTGACTTGATAAAGTCATTGAATCTCGTCTCGATGAAAGAGTGCTCTAGGAGTCACAGTGGGAGGGTTTTAATCATCTAAGAAATGATTAAATATCCACAATGGGAGGTTCTTAATCATTTTTATCATGATTAAGAATCAATTAGTTTTGGGTTATCCTTAAGAATACCTTGTGTAGTATACTTCAGGAACTTCCCATTGAAATGTATTGAGGTATTCCACCCCTAGCTCTTTGGTGAACTTGAATCCAATTGTATTTGACCATGTTGTCGGGTTATCCTTAAGAATATTATGTGTAATATTCTCTAGGAATTTCCCATTGTTGGAAATAAAGAAAGCAATTTAACCTCGTATACCCGTCGGAGGAAAGGGAGAAGCAATTTATACTCTTATACTCTTTGGTGTTTTCGCCGTTCTCATTTGGCTTGTTTCGTCGTTACGATGCCGGCATCAATCAAGGCTTGGATTCTATTTTTGAGAACGAAGTAAGCCTTGGTAGGATGAAGAACTCTCCTAGGGTATGCACAATATTTTCGGTCCAAATTCTTGTTAGTTTCCTCCTGATTTTTAATTGGTGGCAGTTTGATTTTGTTGTTGTTCAGGAGGTACTTGAAGATGGTTGGAATCTCATCATGCTTAAAGGAGTACCGCTAGAGAGATAAAACCTATTGCCGCAGAGCGATTGAGTAAGAACCTTATAAGAGTATTGCTATTACAAAAAGAGATGCATACGTATATACAGTTATAGTATGATTCTATGTAGTTTACCTATGAGTAGGGTGTACATTGGATATATGACATACATGACATGGTATTTTATAATGTTTGAGCTAGATAATATTTCCTTATGATGGTGCCAGCTACCTGAGGGTAGTCAGAGATTGTGACAAATTATTTTATTATGATTGAGGGTAGAAACTGTAATACTTCTGTTTGTGATGATTGTTCATATATAGGTTTGAAGTTAGTAGTTATTGATTCATAGCTCGAGATATACGGTATATACATGAAGGTTTCTTTATTTGGATTATTTCGCTCGACGTACCAGTCTCGAGTTTTGGATTTCTAATTACTAATTTCACTTAAATTTTTATTCTTAGTTGAGATTGATATTTAGTGATTCATAATTTAGGATATGAGGTATATACATGAGGGTTTCCTTGTTTGGATTATTTCGTTCAACGTACCCATTCTCGTGTTATGAATCTCTAAATACTAATTTCTTTTTAGTGTAGTGTTGATGACTTTATACTTATATATACTAACCAATATTTTCTTATATACTACTACCACTTCCCCTTGGGGGTGGTAGAGATGATCTCGCTTAGCACTTGACGCTCGTTATTTCCCCTCATTTTAGGAGACAAGTCAAGCGTACGGAGTGTCACGGGTTGATGGAGTCGCATATTAACATCCATCTTATTTATTTTATTAGTAGTTATTTATAGAGCTCCACAATAGTTGTTCATCTTCAGACTCTAGAGATTGTATTTTATTTTGTAGAGGCAGTGTGCCTTAGTGAGATTTCTTTGACTCTTTATTTTAAGACATGGTACATTAGTGTGCCTTAGTGAGATTTCTTTGACTCTTTATTTTAAGACATGGTACATTATTATAGTTCAGAGATATTCTTATTCTATTTCAGTTGGGTTTGACTCTTTATTTTAAGACATGGTACATTATTATAGTTCAGAGATATTCTTATTCTATTTCAGTTGGGCTCATTTGTTGATTTTTTTGGTCAATGAAGTAGTTTTATTCATTTACCAAATTGAGAAAGTTATGTACATCAAGATCTCTACGATGAGAAATCTAACAAAAAACTTCTAACAATAATTTTATCTAACTTTTACAATGCAAAAATCCAATCTCTAGTCTCAGATAAAATAGGATTGTTCATGTAAATGGTTAAGATATCAATTTTGATATCTCTAACCAATTGAGTTGTGCTTCTTACCTTCTGCTGAAAGAATCGAATATTCCTTTCCCTCCAAACACTATATATGGTTGCCGATATCACCATCCTCTTTGCATTCTGTTTGAAGCCTTTGCCTCTCAATAGTTGTTCGTCTTCACACTATTAATTACTTGAAGTCTCCCTTCATAGGATAGGTTATTATGTTTTAACCACTTTTGAAACTGGTTTGATATTTTGTCAATAAGTGGATTGCAATCCTCACTTGTAAGTCTTTTACATATCAGTGGTACCCCTAGATATTTGAAAGGAATCGTGCCTTCAGTAAAGCCCAGGAAACTGTGTATAGCCCCTTTGACAGAATTATTCACCCCACCATAGTATACAGAACATTTATCCTGATTTGCTTCCAAAGCAGTGGTTTCACTAAACTCTTTTATGCATTGAGATAGTTTTTGAACTGAATACAAGTCCCCTTTGGCAAAAAGAAGCAGATCATCTGTAAAAAATAAGATGTGAAATTTTGAGCTTATTACACTTTGGATGATATCTGAAAAGTTTGTCACCTTTTATTTGATCTAATTTCCTTGATAAGTATTCCATACCCAAAATGAATAGGTATGGAGATAGGGGATCTCCCTGTCATAACCCTCTTTTTCCTTCAAAATAACCATGAAGTGAACCATTGAGAGAAATTAAGTACTTAGGAGAATATATGCAAGTCATTATCCAGTTAATCATTACTTTAGGAAACCCCAGACTTGAAGCATTCTTTCAAAAAGTTCTAGTTGATTGTATCAAAAGCTTTCCTAATGTCAATATTCATCAAGATTCTTGGTGAGATGTTCTTCCTGGTATAATTTTTAGCTAGCTCATGAGCCAAGGAAATGTTACTGGTAATTTGTCTCCCCTTGACAAATGCACTTTGGGCCTCATTCACAATGTACCCAATTATTGGTTTTATTCTATTTGCTAAAACCTTGGAAATGAATTTATAAAGGCAGTTGCAGTAAGATATAGGTTTGAAATATGAGGGTGATTTAGGACATTGTACCTTCGGTATTAGGGTGATGGAAGTAGAGTTGACCATTCCTAACATTTTTCCATCCTTGAAGAAGTCCAGAATAGGTGATGATACCTCCTCCCTAACCACAGGCCAAGCTGATTTGTAGAATGCTACCCTATATCCATCCGAGCCTGGAGCCTTATTATCATCTATAGATAAGATAGCACTTTTAATTTTTCTTTCGAAACTGGTCTGGACAGAAAATTTGCTTGTGATTCAGTTAAGCATGGCCCAACTTGAATAACTTGGATGTCAGATGAAAGAGTGACTGTGGTTTCCCACAACAAGCCTCTATAAAAGGACACCAGTTCATTGGCAATCTCTTCTTGATCAGATAATCTTTGTCCCAAGTTATTATAGAGCACCAACACTTTATTATGATGTCTATTTGATTTTATCCTTGAATGGAAAAAATTAGTGCACCTATCCCCTTGAACAATCCATTTAATCCTAGCTTTTTGCTGAAAAAAAGAAAGTTCACAATCCCGAAGCTTGATGAATTCTGGATTGAGAGGACTGATCTGAAGGTTTCTTTGAGCTTCTTCAAGTGCAAACTTAGCTCTTTGAACTTGCTCACTGATATTATAATAATGCTTCTTGTTAATGTCTTTAAGAGCTCCTCTTAGTTGCTTAAGCTTCTTACAAATTGAGTACATTTTCTACCCTTCTATCTTTGTTTGCCAAATTGTAGTAACAGATGGAAGGAAGCTTTCAAGCTTTGTCTACATATTAAAGAATTTGAAAGGTTTCTTCCTTCTTGGACACTCATCACATAAAGATACCAATGCAGGAGAATGATCAGACAAGTTAGGAAGTAAGAATTCAACCTGACTAGATGTGTACAATTGAATCCAAGCATCATTCACCAGAGCCCTGTCCAATCTACTCCACACTCTTGAGTCTTGATCTTGTTTGTTATTCCAAGTATAAAAACAACCATTTGTTTTTAAATGATTTAAGTTGCAATCTTCAATAAAATTTCTAAAATCCTTTATTTCAGCTTCAGAAAGAATTGATCCACTTAGCTTTTCCTCATTACTGATAATAGTATTAAAATCACCACATAAAAGCCAAGGTTCATTTCCTGTGAAATGTTGTAGCATCTTCAGTTCCAGCCATAAACCCTTTCTTGCTTGTATCTAGTTTAGACCATATATTGAAGTAAAAACACAATTCAATCTCCCATCCAAGGATTGTACTTCGCATGTGATGCTTTGATCAGATTTCCTAATAATTTGAATGCCAAGAATATTTGGATCCCACATAATCAAAATCCTAGCTTTTCTATGATTGCTGACATTAGATAGCCAGTTCTAGTTTTTTATAATTTTCTTAGCTACATCCTTCAATATGCTTTCTTTAATCTTTGTTTCAAGCAAGGAAATGTAAGAGAGATGATACTGCGATAAGAATAGCCTTACTAAATGCTGCTTAGAGGATTTATTTAATCCTCTAACATTCCAGACTAATATATTCATCAAAGCCCACCCCCCTCTATCCAATGTAGAGGGATCAATATCCAATATATCTAAGTATGAAAATGAATTGATAGGGATAGTGGACTTGATGTGTTTGCTTTTTTGAACATGTATCCTTGAGCTATTTACCAGAGTAGCACATCTAGAACTGTGAACATTTCCAGTACTAGCTTGTTTGTCCTGCACAACAACATGCACAGACTTGTGTATCTGTTGACCAGAAAATGTTACAGAAGCTTGCAAATCTTCAATCATATTATCACCCATTATTGTCTGCTTTTGGATACTATTGTCTGCTTTTGGACTTCATTGACCTGATTCAAGTGATGAGTATACCCTTCATATCTAGCTGCTTGAGTAGCACCTCCGGATCTGTGAATATTTTCATTATTAGCTTGTTTGTCATGCACAACAACATGCACAGACTTATGCACTGCCCGCTAACCAGATGTTATTGCTTGCAAATCTTCAGTCACCTTTTCACCCACTATTGATTGCTTTTGGACATCATTAATCTAATTTTCCTGCCTATTAACATTCATATTAGAGTATAATTCCTTCATTTTGTGCTTCTGTATATGAGAATTAGGTATAACATTAACCCTCTCTTTCTCTATATTTCCACGCATAGGATTTTGCTTAGGAATCCATCTTTGTGTTTGCACTTGTCTCCTGCAAGAATGTGTGTCATGCCCTACTAGCTTGCACAAGTTACACCATCTAGGCTTTAATTCATATATCACTTTATGTATAAATTGTTTCCCCTTTGGCCCTTGAATGATGACTTGATCTGGAAGAGGGGAAGGCATCTAAATTTCTACAAGTACTCTTGCATATGCCAAGCGCTGCCTATTTGTTGTTAACCTGTCAGTAGCTATAAGACACCGTATAGCACTAACAATTTTACTAATGCTTTTAGCATTCCACAGGTTTAGCCTCAAAGCTGGAAGCTGTATCCACATTGGAGATACACAGTCTTTAATTTTGTCAATTTCATCTCCATTAGACCAAGGCTTCAGTAGGAGAGGTCTTGAACCAAAGAACCATGGTCCTTTACACAAAATCTCATTCATATCATCTTTTCCTTTGAATTTAAACAGAAAACCACTGTGTTTTAGCAGGCAAACTTCCGGCAACAAGTGTTTCCAGACTTTTTGTATATAAATCTCTATGGCCTTGAATTTGACATTCAGCCCCAAAACTTGTCCAATTAAAGAAGATAGGTAAATTGTGATATGCTCATTCCATTGCTCATCATCAAAGGTTACTATGTCATTGCTTTCAATAGGCACATAGTTCAAATTCATTCCACTTCCAAGTTTTCTATTGTCAGCGAATAGGCTAACCCAGCTTTTCCAATTTTTTTCCCCTGCTTCATTATTTTTTATTGAATTTAATGGAGGCATTTCATTATCCTCATTAGATTTTAATCTAGAGGAGACACTGGATTCTTTATCATTCAATGTAACAATAACTTTCTCTTTTCATCATTCAATGTAACAGTAACTTTTCAATGTAACAGTAACTTTCTCATTAACCAGATTTGAACTTTTCCCTTAATCCTTTATCGATTTCAACTCGAGATTTAAAGAAGAACTGATAGAATCTTTACTATAATCCATCTCATCTGCCTAAGAAACCCTTGTAGATCTAGTAGAACCAGGAGAAGGATGATGACTATCTGATACTCGATCAATCTGACCTACTGATACATGATCAATCTGACCTCCTAATACTCGATCTTCACACACACGATCTTACACAGGCATAGTAGAACTCAGAATTTTCGCCATAGATCTAGACCTCTTTCCTCCCTTTGGACCAGTTGATCCCATGTCAATGAAAACTTCATCATCTTCTTCACTACAAGCTTCAGTATGATCCTATGAAGATGTCAAATTCAATTTAGATGCTCTCAATCCGATCTTCAATATTTTTTCCACTATTTTTCTTCTTCTTAGTCATCAAGAACTAAAAAAACTAGGCGGGGGAGCAAGATAGCAGCATAGAAATTGCCTGCTATCCTTCACCATTCAGACCGTCCAATCAAAAGTTCTCCATTTGTTGATTATTCTCATGCTTTTTCTGTGCATATTCTGTTGTTGTACTATTTTCATTATTTTAATGTTTTGTACCTTTACCTATTTGTTGATTCTGCTAGAGAGATAATGACTGTGATGGTGAAATATGTCGTAGCATGGTGATGGTGTTTTGCAGGTTTGACAATCTGAGTTTCACCTTGGATTGCAGCCATATGTGAACTGGAGCGTCACATCAGGACTATCCAAGATCTGGATGATGCGTTTCTTCTTTGTGCCTTCATTGGGTTGATCTAGATGCAAATAAGGTAAAGTAATTGAGGGTCCATCCTTCCTCTTCCTCTTTCTGATAGTCTGTTTGATGGATGAGGTTTCCCTCTTATTATCATTGCCACCTTCCTCTTTTTGAGAAACATCTCTATAGAGTTGAAATGCATATAATTAACAAAGATATACTCAAGTATTGTACGAAAAGTAAGAAAAAAGTAAAATTTAAAGAGAATAGAAAAATACAAACTCACTGGGCATCTTCTAAATTTTTATTTCTCTTGGCCTCATCATAAAGTCATCATCAATTTCGGCTTCCTCATTTTCTTTTTTAATATTTTCCTCAACGTAGTTTTCATTATCCTCTCCCTCTTTCTCTTCCACATTCTCATCAGCTTCCATATCCTCTTTTCTTTTATTTTCTTCATTTTCATTTCTCTTATCCTCTTTCTCCTTGTTTTTATTTATGCTTCTAGCACCACGCTCTTCTAATTTTCGTAATTTAGTAGTAAGCTCATTCAACTCATATGTCTTCTTCGTAATTAATGCAATCAATTCAGCTTTCTTTGATTCTATAACACAAAAAATATACAAGTATTAGTACTCAACTATAGTTGTAGATAATGATACTAAAAAAAGAAAGGAACATAAAAATAATTAACCATTAGAGCAAAGATATATACAAATACTTCTGGCGATGCCCCATGAATAAGAGGAGTATTCTCTTGACCAACATCCGTAATAAACTTCGGATCTCTGTATAATTTGTTCATGGTAGTCCTCCTCCACTTTACGGTATTCTTAACACAAAAGATCGGTGGTAGCCCTTCAATATCTGAAGTACGCACTAATTCCTCCACTAATTCATAAAACCAAACCTACAAAAAAACTATACATTAGCATGTGCATAAAAATAATCACTGTCAAAAAGAAAAGTTATACAAAGTAATTCTCATGTAACTCACCAGTAATACGGAAGAAAAACCACTATGTAATCAGCATATGAACACTCCCCTAATCCCCTCATACTAATAGACTTCTTTCCCTTATTCATCTCTTTGCAAAGAAAAGTAAACACTACATGACACCAATTATATTTCTTCAAAGTGGACAACTACTCTGCATATCTAAACGCCCACAAGGGACATATCCTACATGTCCACAGGCATAATATGAAGTTGATAATGAAAGTCACAATAAGTTTTACAGAAGTTATAGGGTCTTTATTAGCCATATCTACAATCAGCTCAGCCAATCTATCGCGTTTCCCCGAAATCACCACCTTCTTTTCCTCATCGACTTTATTCTTTCCTTTACTCCTACTATCCTTCTTCTCCTTGGATGTCTTATAATTCTTTACAATTTGGGTGTAGATTGTATTAGCTGCTATTCTACTCATTTCTATTAGAATTCCCTCCTTTGGCAAACTGGTAATTTGGTGAACATCCTCTATACCAAACAAACAATCTTTATTCCCAATCATAAATGAGCATTTATAAGGATTATAATTTTGAATCAAGCAATCAATTGCTATTTGCTCATTGCTCAAGGATGTGGGTATCCAGAGGAAGTTGTGCAAAGGTATCTTCTCAAGGGTTTTCATATGCTTTTCATCTAATACTATACGCTTATCAATTAAATCTCAAAAATAACAAAGATTGAACGAAATTCTCAATTGTGTTATCACAGCCCAACAAGAGAATTATAATTCAGAAGGTTAAAAATTAAAAATACTTGGGCAAATTAAGAATAGGTAAGGATATATTACATGCCGAAAAACATGCATATAAATACTAACATTATACCTAAAATAAATACTCAACATGACAAAAATTACCATAAATCTTACATTAGGAAAGTTAAAAGTGCAAA